AATAAAAAAGTAAAAAAATAAAACTAGGGGTTGATCACTTTAGTGCAGTTGTTAAAGCGGCACTTCTTCATATAGCCTGAGTATGATAAGGTCGCAGATAGTGTTACGTACAAATCAAATTTCTTCTCTGAAATTCGATTCGATTTGGATTTGATTTGACCTCCAAAAATTATTATCTCAGAATCTAGTAATCCAATTTCAATGATCTTTTTTTTAATCGATAGGTCTTATTATCCTGATCAAAATAAAAAAGGATTATCAAAATCAAACCACTAGATCAAAAGTTATTTGCAAAATACATTTTTATTATTCAGGAACAATCAGGGTCATACCATGTCATGTAAAGCTTCGCAACTTAATCTGAAAGATTGGATAACCCGACAGGTTGATCTGAAATATTCAGGTCAAGTTATCAAATTCATGACCTGACACTGGTCAGATTAGTACTAGTCAGTACCTGATCCAACCTGTTGACCCAACATATATTTGGGTCAAATAAATTAAAAAATACCAAAACTAATAGTTCTGGCGGTTTTGTATATAAAATCAAAAGAAAAACTGCTAGAACTAATAATTCTGGCATTTTTACATGTAAAATCGAAAAAAAAATGCTGAAACTAATAGTTTTGGTATTTTTACATGTAAAATCAAAAAAAAATGCCAGAACTAATGATTCTGGCATTTTTATATGTAAAATTGAAAAAAATGCTAAAACTAATAGTTTCAGTAATTTTACATGTAAAATCAAAAGGAAAAATACCAAAATTAATGATTCTAGCATTTTTACATGTAAATTAAAAAAAAAATGCTAAAACTATTAGTTTTGGCATTTTTACATATAAAATCAAAAAGAAAAACACCAGAACTAATAATTCCAGTATTTTTACATGTAAAATTGAAAAAAAATACTGAAACTAATAGTTTTAGCGTTTTTAAATGTAAAATCAAAAAGAAAAATGCTGGAACTAATGATTCTGGCATTTTTACATGTAAAATAAAAAAATACCAAAACTAATAGTTTTAGCATTTTTAGATGTAAAATTAAAAAGAAAAATGCTGAAACTAATGATACTGGCGTTTTTATATATAAAATTGAAAAAAAATGCCAAAACTATCAAAACTATCAATTTCAGCATTTTTACATGTAAAATCAAAAAAAAAAATGCTGGAACTAATAATTCTGGCGGTTTTACATGTAAAATCAAAAAAATACTGAAACAATCAGTTTTAGCATTTTTACATAAAATCAAAATAAAAAATGCCAAAACTAATGATTCTGGCATTTTTATATGTAAAATTAAAAAAAAAATGCTGAAACTAATAGTTTTGGCATTTTTACATGTAAAATTATAAAGAAAAATGCCAAAACTAATAATTCTGACGTTTTATATAATTACATGTAAAATTAAAAAGAAAAATGCCAGAACTAATAATTCCAGTATTTTTACATGTAAAATCGAAAAAAATGCCAAAATTAATAGTTTTGGCATTTTTATATATAAAATAAAAAGTAAAATACTGGAACTCTTGAACCTGACGTTTTTTGTATAATTAATAAAAAAAACATTACAAAACGTTTTTTTACTTGAAATATTCAGTATAATAATAAAACTTCAGGTAACCTGAGTTACTTGAAGTGACCTGAATACTTTCAAATCAAGTTGGTCAGGTTAAGTCAGAACGGTTTACATGACCTAACCTGATCAGAAAAAAAATTTCAGTTCAGGTTAACCAGGTAATCCAACCTGACCTAACCCGTATAGAGCTCTAGTGTTATAAATCAATTCATGCGGAATACTAACACAAATTCAGTTCTACTAATTACAGAAATTAAAATAAATTTTATTGCAGATGCTACCATCAATAGCGTGAAGGTACAGGGATTAGTATAATTAGACTAGAACCCTGCTTACTTATAATAAAGGTCATTGTAGAAAATTGGCCCTTTACTGATAGTTTTTACCTTACTTTTTTCTTAAATTCTATTGGTTAATTAGCTAAAAGGAAAAAAATCATAACAATGTAACATAAAATTTCCTTTTATAGTAGAAACTGCAAAGAATTTTATATATGATTTTTACTTTAGGCTTGGGGTGACCTATCTTATAAGTAAGCAGGATCCTATTAGACTGCATCATCGTGAATTAGTGTGTACAGTTAAGTTGTATATTTTAACAAAGGGTTATAATATCCTTCTAACGTTCCCTAAGAGGCTATTGGCATCTCTATAAAAAAAAATATTACATTTAAAATATATTTAATTTTCTTTAAAATATATTTAATTTTCTTTAAAATATACTTAATTTTCTTTAAAATATACTTAATTTTCTTTAAAATATACTTAATTTTCTTTAAAATATACTTAATTTTCTTTAAAATATACTTAATTTTCTTATTTTATACTTAAAATATACTGAAAATTGAATTTTCGCAAAATTTGAATTAAATTGTATTTAATATATACTTAAAATATATTTAATTTACATTTAAATTTTGCCTATTTCAGTATATTTTAAGGATATTTAAAATAAGAATATTTAAGTATATTATTATATACTTAAATTATACTTAAATGATATTTAATTTTTGCCTATTTTAGTATATTTTAAGTATAAAATAAAATTTTAAATATATTTTAAATATAAAATAAAATTTTAAATATATTTTAAATATAAAATAAAATTTTAAGTTTATTTTAAGTATATTTTAGCAAAAATATTTTTTATAGGGCATGTGCACAGTCTTGTCTTTAAGGTCACTACTATACCTTGGAGGAACTTCCTATTCAAATAGTCACTTCATGATACCGTTTGGAATCTTTAGGGACTAAATGGTTGTCTTAAATGATAAAGCTAAAGATGCAATATCTTTGTGGTAGTTTGACCTTCTATTAGGTCTTAGATCAACCAAGGTGTTTATGCACAAAACAGATAGTTCATGGTTATGGAATTCGATTCCCTACTCTTTGGGTCCTAATTGGTGATTCCTAGTGATTGATACCTATCTAAGTAGTCATTACAAAGTATATTATTTGAGGTAAAAAACTGTATTATCGTTGTTGGGTAATTGTGGACTGTAGTGGCCTTTGAGTGAGACTTCGTATCTAAAATAGTGGTATGGATAATGTTACGATCTGGATGAATTCATCATTTGTTCAATTCAGTCTGAAAATAAATGGATGATCTGGATGAAAATCTGGATTTAATTCAGATGAGAAAGTTATATGTACAATCAAAATGATTCAGATCCAATCTGTTAAAACATAGAGGTAACAGATAACGGATTGATCTGGATGAGCAAAAAACAGATTCATAGATGATCCAGATGGGTTTCAAATCAGATAAATCTGCGGATTGATGAATTGACAGATTAACAGATCGCAACACTAGGTACTATGGAAGGGTACTAAATAGTTGATGTTACCTGTAGAAAGTTCTCCATGACAGTAAGTATTTATTAGTAAGGTCATTAAATAATAATTGAATACTAGTATCATGCAATGGGTATAAAGATAAGTAGGTAGTGTTCCAAAAAAAATCTGATCTGATTCGTATCCGCGGATCTGATCTGAAATGGATCGGATCAGATCAGCTTTTTTATGATCCGTGATTCGATCTGAATCAAAAAAATTTGATTTGTTTCAGATCGAATCGGATTAGATCAGCTATTTATTCAAATCGGATCAGATTGAATCAGATTCAAACAGATTTGGATCGAATCTGGATCAGATCTGAATCTTAAAAAATAAAAAATATTTTGCGCAACGTTTTTTATTAAGACAATTACAAACTGTTGCGAAACAGTTCATTTTAGTTAAATAAACCATTTCGCAACGGTTTATATTAAAACAATTTAAAAAACTGGTGCACAACAGTTTTTTTTAGTTAAATAAACCATTTCGCAATAGTTTATATTAAAATATTTTAAAAAACTGTTGCGAAATAGTTCTTTTTAATTAAATAAACCGTTGTGAAATGGTTCTTTTTAATTAAATAAACTATTTCGCAACGGTTCTTTTTAATTATCGCCATTTTTAAAATGGTGTATGCAATCAGTATGCATGTAAAAAATTCGATTTTGATTGTGATTATTCAAATGATCGACATCATGTGATCAAACAAAAAACTTAGCCAATAAAAATTTATCGATTTTTAATCATAAAATTATTATAGTTCGCGTCTATAATAATTCAAAGACGCGTTTTGCTTCTTTTTACGTTTTAAAGTTCATAATGACCTTTCAAGAATACCTCATTGGCACTTGTCTTAGTTGCAAAAAATGCCTTTACTGTGGAGTTGAATTCAGTATTCAGAAAAAAATGTGTACATGTGATAAAACTATCAAACCAAGTACAAAAAACTGAACGGAACAAGTAAAAATTGCATTTACTCGAATTTCAAAACCTACTTTACCACTGAAACAACGTGAATATATTCAAGAAAGCATAACTCGATTTGGTTATTCTTTAGATATCACTACAACCTTCAAATTTTCTTTTTGTCTTGCATGCAATAGCGCTTTTCAAAGAAAAAAGTCCAATACTAATTCAAAGTCTTCTACTCCATGCAAGATAAGCTTAGAATTTGATTCAAATAGAAATAGCTCAGAAGATGATAAGCCAGCTCAAACAAGAAGCAATAGTATTGATTTGAATGAATCTGATGACAAAGATAACGATAATATTGAAATAAGTGAAAAATCAGATCATTTATTCAGATGCAGAACAAGTGATATCTTTTAACCTAATTATAAAACCTTTTACCGGTCCAGCATTACCATCTAAATGGATGGAAATAGAAGTATCATCATTAGATGATATTCTTGCAGATATTCACCTTTGTGTTAAAAAACTAACTGGTAATAAAAATATCATGCATCCGGATTATTTAGTATCATTTAAATCAGAAAAAGCTATAGGAGCTGGGACGCAACTAGTTGATTTGTAAGATTATAAAAAATTTCTTTTGGATTACAAAAAATTAACAGAAAAGAATACAAATATGGCAGTTATAATGTCTTTAAAAAATGATAAAAAGAAAAAGCAAAGAGGACGAAAGGTATACTAACTATTCAATTATAACATGTTTTTACAAATGTAGCTATGTAAAATAATTGTATCATCTTTAAAATTTTTTAGGAAAATTTATATTCTGAAGATTCAGAAGATGAGAACATTGATTTGCAAAAAAAGAAAAGGAAGGAAATTCCAAAAGTAGATAATTTTTCTGAAATTTTACAACAAGAAGGACGTATAATTCAGGAATTAAGAAAACAATATAAATGTGACCAACATGATGCATGCTTTGTTGATAATGGAAGACATATAAAGCTTACTGCAATGCATCTCCAATGCTGGACTAAGGAAATTGTAATTTTTCACTTTCTATGATCAATTATTGAATAAAACTTTAATTAATATTATTTATTTTTAGATTCGAGGAACTACAGATAATACACAAATGCCTAATTTACCTATTTTTTCACAATCTAATAGCGTTAAAACATTTACATCTACAACTCCATCTACAACTTCAATGCCTATAGCTTCAAATTCAAATTTTAATACACCATTTTTTTTTGCTATTTCACCTCAAATGTTTTCTTTTATGCAAAATCCAACTACAAATAATTCACCAAATTCACCATCAAATGTATTATCTTATCCAAGACAATCAGTTCCATCTCTTGATGAATTTTTTATTAAATTAGACGAATCATTAGATGGTAATGAAGAGTTTACTACGAAATTTAAAGATATTTTTAAAGAAGAATGAATTTCTGTTAGTCAAATTTGTGATCTTACAGATATAGAATTCGATTAATTAGGTGTAAATAAAATAGGATGGCGTAAAGCATTCAGGGCTGTGGCAAAATCTTATAAATAATCTAATCTTTTAATCAATTTTCTTATTGTGTAACAAATAATAATAAAAACTCTGCAAATTTTTTTCATATAATAATCAAATTTTATTTTTTGTAATATTCAAAAAAATTTATAAATTTTTGTCTATAAATTTATACTACATATAAATTGAACTTTTGAAAAATGACTCAGCTATTAATGGAGTAATTTGAGAACATGCTATTAAAAGAGGATATTTAGAATCACTACATGAATTAACAAAATCTCTATATCTTTTTAAAAATGACTTTATAACAGAAAAACAGGTTTCAATAGGGTTAAAGTCAGGAGAATAAGGAGGCAAAAATTCAACACGACCACCAAATGCTTCAATATAATCTATAAGATCGTCATCATGATGAATTCGTGCATTATCAAGTACAAGAACACTTTGTTCATTAGGATATGCATTCATTTGAGGTACCTAACATAAAAAAAACAATCGGTTATTACAATTGTAGTGATAATATTAACAAATAGTAGATTAAACTTAAAATTCAACATACCACATTTGAAATAACAAATTCCCTAAATTTTTCTTTTGTACAATTACCTTCCATTATATCCACTGCAATAATACCTTGTAAAGATAAAGCAGGTAATATTGTATATCGTATTCCTCGTACAAATACATTTTTTTTAGTAGCAAATATATTTTTAAGAGAATATCCATACCCACGAGATAAAGAGCGTTCATCTTTAGCAGCTTCATCCATAAATATAAGCTGTTCAGGTTTATAATTGCGTCCAACTTTTGCAATAAAAGTACTTCTGAGAAGTTCATTTCATTCATAAGCTGTTCGATGTAACTGTATAAAATAAATTGCAATAAAACCCAAATAAATAAATATAACATAAACTAGAAGGAAATCTAAGGATTAAAATATACCTTTTTCCTGCTAATTCCACAATAAACTAAAGATCTCCAAAGAGTTGGGATTGAAATTAGTTTTCCTGTTTGTAATTCAAGTTCTCTTACTAATTCATCTAAATACCAATCTACTTTATCTTTAACTAATTCTTGTAGTATCTAAATTGACAATGTAATTAGTAATATAAAGATACAAAAAAGATGCATTATATTCTTTTCTCATTCACAATTACCTTCATTTCATTTCTAGTTAGTGTTTTATGGCATCATGGTAGTTTTTGCCAAGGATTCACTACAGTTCCCCATTGTACATATATTTGCAGAACTTTATCAACAGTGGCTTTACTTATATATAATAACTCAGCAATTTTTTTTCGTCTATGACCATCATGATAAAGATAAACAACTCTCCACTTCAGGTCTTCGCTGAAAGAACGAGCCATTAGAAATAAAATATGAAAATCTTTTAAAATTGAAAAATCTCTAAAAAATCGCGAACTTTAAGCGAAAAAAACATCAAATAGTACACAATAACTTGGCCTAAAACTCAACAAGAAGCCGTAAACAAACGTAACAATACAAATATTGCTGAATAATCTTAAATATTCACCAAAAAAGACGCGTTTAATTTATGAAATTTAAAATATTCGGCAAAAATTTAAAAATTTTTTTTATTTGATGATCAGCATTGCATATACCATTTTGAAAACGGCAATAAATAAACCGTTTCGCAACGGTTCTTTTTAATTAAATAAACTGTTTCGCAACAGTTCTTTTTAATTAAATAAACCATTTTGCAACGGTTTATATTAAAACAATTTAAAAACCGTTGCGCAACGGTTCTTTTTAGTTAAATAAACTGTTTAAAAAACTGTTGTGAAATGGTTCTTTTTAGTTAAATAAACCATTTTGCAATGGTTTATATCAAAATGTTTTAAAAAACCGTTGTGAAACGGTTCTTTTCAATTAAATAAACTATTTCGCAACAGTTTATATTAAAATCTAAGGTTGTTTGTCTAAACCTCTTCAAAATCCTACGATTAGTTTCGTCAAAATTTTACTATAGATTTATTATAGTTTCAGCAGAGTTTCGGCAGTTTCAGCATTTATAATAAATTTTGGCAGTTTCACCTTTCTCCAAAGTTTCGCCAGTTTTTTAATATAACTTTAATATAGTTTCGGCAGAATTTCGCTTTTCGGCGAAACGCCATCTTGCCTAAACCCCTAGGTTTCGGCAAGCAATCTTATTAAAATCATTAAAAAAACCGTTGTGAAATGGTTTTTTTAGTTAAATAAACTGTTTTGCAATGGTTTATATTAAAATATTTTAAAAAACTGTTGCAAAATGGTCCTTTTTAATTAAATAAACCGTTTTGCAACGGTTTATATTAAAATCGTTAAAAAAACCGTTGCAAAACAGTTTTTTTAGTTAAATAAGCTGTTGCAAAACGGTTTTTTTAGTTAAATAAGCTGTTGCAAAACGGTTTTTTTAGTTAAATAAGCTGTTGCAAAACGGTTTTTTTAGTTAAATAAGCTGTTGCAAAACGGTTTTTTTAGTTAAATAAGCTGTTGCAAAACGGTTTTTTTAGTTAAATAAGCTGTTGCAAAACGGTTTTTTTAGTTAAATAAGCTGTTGCAAAACGGTTTTTTTAGTTAAATAAGCTGTTGCAAAACGGTTTTTTTAGTTAAATAAGCTGTTGCAAAACGGTTTTTTTAGTTAAATAAACTGTTGCAAAACGGTTTTTTTTAGTTAAATAAGCTGTTGCAAAACGGTTTTTTTTAGTTAAATAAACTGTTGCAAAACGGTTTTTTTTAGTTAAATAAACTGTTGCAAAACGTTTTTTTTTTAGTTGAATAAACTGTTGCAAAACGGGTTTTTTTAGTTAAATAAACTGTTGCAAAACGGTTTTTTTTAGTTAAATAAACTGTTACAAAACAATTTTTTTTAGTTAAATAAACTGTTGCAAAACGGTTTACATTAAAATCATTAAAAAAACTGTCGCGAAATAGTTCTTTTTAATTAAATAAACTATTTCACAACGGTTTATATTAAAATATTTTAAAAAACCGTTGCGAAATGGTTCTTTTTAATTAAATAAACTGTTGCGAAACAGTTCTTTTTAATTAAATAAACCGTTGCGAAATGGTTCTTTTAATTAAATAAACCGTTGCAAAATAGTTCTTTTTAGTTAAATAAACCATTTCGCAATGGTTCTTTTTAATTAAATAAACCGTTTCGCAACAGTTTACATTAAATTAAAATCATTAAAAAAAACTGTTGCAAAATGGTTCTTTTTAGCTAAATAAACCATTTCACAACAGTTTATACTAAAACAATTTAAAAAACCGTTGCGAAATGGTTCTTTTTAGTTAAATAAACCATTTCGCAACAGTTTATATTAAAATGATTTAAAAAACTGTTTCGCAACGGTTTATATTAAAATAATTTAAAAAACTGTTTCGCAACGGTTTATATTAAAATAATTTAAAAAACTGTTTCGCAACGGTTTATATTAAAATAATTTAAAAAACTATTGTGAAATGGTTCTTTTTAGTTAAATAAACCATTTTGCAATGGTTTATATTAAAATATTTTAAAAAACTGTTGCGAAACAATTCTTTTTAATTAAATAAACCGTTTTGCAACAGTTTATATTAAAACAATTTAAAAAACCATTTCGCAACAGTTTTTTTCGTTTAAATTAAAATAAAAAATGTTTCGCAATGTTTTTTATTAAATAAATCTTTAAAAAAATATTGCGAAACATTTTTTTAACTTCTGATTCAGATCGGATTCAGACTGGATCAGTTTTATCTGAATTGAATTCAAACCGAATCGAATCAAGCTTATTTCGGATTTAGATCAGATCGAATCCAATTATTTTTGATCTGAATTTGGATCAGATCAAATCCAACTTTTTTTGATCTGAATTCAGATCAGATCGGATTCATCTCAAATCTGATCTGATTCGATCTGTTCAGAATACTATAAGTAGGTGGCGTATTTCTAGTTTCAGATTAGCCTTAAAAGTACACTACTTACTCAAAAGTTTAGGACCACCCTATATTTGCAATTTTATGATAATTAAATGTATTTATTCAACTTAAAATATTTTAATTAAAATTTAATAGTAATATTTAACATTAAATGTATATTTTTTTATATTTTTTTATATTATAAATATAAATATAAATTTGAGTAAATTACCAGTCTACTTTCATAATTAACAATTAATAAAAATTTGACTGTAAATAAAATTGTTAAGAAAAATAATTTTAATAAAACTACATCAGATTTAATTTCTCCTAGTTAAGAGGATTAAAATAAGCTAAAGTTTGTTGAAATTGGTGCAGTAGATAAGGAGAAATTGACTGTTGATAACTAATCATTTATATATAAAAATTAAATGTAGATCATTTTATATATGTAAAATATCCTAAAATGTCAATATTTAGCAATCAATTTCTCCTTATCTACTGCACCGGTTTTAACAAACTTTAGCTTATTTTGATCCTCTTAACTAGGAGAAATTGAATCTGATGTAGTTTTATTAAAATTATTTTCTTAACAATTTTATTTACAGTCAAATTTTTATTAATTGTTAATTATGAAAGTAGACTGGTAATTTACTCAAATTTATATTTATATTTATAATATAAAAAAATATAAAAAAATGTACATTTAATGTTAAATATTACTATTAAATTTTAATTAAAATATTTTAAGTTGAATAAATACATTTAATTATTATAAAATTGCAAAATATAGGGTGGTCCTAAACTTTTAAGTAAGTAGTGTAGCTTAATGGAAAATGTTTTTATATAAGATTCTGTGACTTCTGTCTACTTGAAGAATTAAGTACTTAGTGGTATAGTTACCCTTAGGGATGATAGGATACTGGCATAAGGATGTCGTATGTAATTATTTTTAGAAGGTTGTAAAGTTGCAACAGGACCCCTGACATCACATATATTGAGTTTTAGCAAATTCAATCAAAATTAAGTTAAACTCATAATTTTAGATAGAGCAAATTGATTGAAAATTAATTAATAGTCATAATTATGAGTTTTAGCAAATTGTATTGATTTTACAAAGTCATATTTTATATTTGAGCAAATTGGTACTTTTTTTTAAATTTAACTTATCTTTTTTTTTAAACTTTATAAATAATATTTTTAAAAATATTAGTTTCAGAGTCCAGGTTATATTTTGGCCAAAATTAAGTATAATTCTGACCAAAATTAAGCATAATGCGGGCCAAAAACCGTCCATTTAGTTTCGCAACATTTTATTTTTTAATAATTATTTATTTAATTTATTATTTTTATTAATTATTATTTTATCTATAATCTACATATTTTAATTATAAAAATTGGCAGTTTAATTTATATTAATCATTTATTTTTTTATTGATAATAAAAGAAAAGATTATTAACTCATATTTTGAGTTTTAGCAAATTAGTATAGATTTGAATGTAATAATTTGATTTTTAGCAAATTAGGTCTATTTTAGCAGAAGCAAAAAGTACTTAAATTCATGCAGATCAGTTATGAGTTATATATGTGATGTCTGGGGTCCTGACCGTCCTGTTGCAACTATTACAGCATACATACAACACTTTTGTTGTAATTATAACACAAGTGTTATTTATGACATAGTGTTGTAATTACAACACAAGTAGTATTTACAACATAAGTAGTAATTACAACACAAGTAGTATTTATAATACATTATTGTAATTACAGCAATTACAATACTAAATTTATGATTTTTTATTATTATTTTAATTAAAACCTATACTATAACAATTATTAATCAATTATTAATATTTCATTATTTTTTTACTAGATCTGCAACATCAAAATCAGATTCACCATCATCATCACTAAAAAATCTGGTACATTGAGAAATAAATGTAAGATCTATTACTACCCATGGTAATAAATCAACTGTTTCTTCAATATCTAATTGAGTAATAGCATTAGTATTTTGAGATAAATTAGCATCAGATCCTTCTTCATCATTTAAATCAGTTAAATCAGAATCATCTGGCAAATCATCATATTCATCATCATTATTAACAGTTGTCATACTCACTAAATTTCTAATGTAATCTTCTTCATAAGTTTTAATATAACTTAATTCCTTTTTTGCATTACTTAAAATATACTGATGTACCTTTCCTAATGATTCTACTGTTTCAAGATTTAATCTTTACCGACGATTACCAAAAAACCAGCCAAATGAAGAAAATTGGCGCTCACAACTTGCTGAATATAAAGAAATACTAAAAAGTTTAGTTGCAAGTCGTTGTAATTGATTATTACCATCAAAAATAGTTAACCACTAGTCAATAAGTGATTCAGAAGAGGTGCTAAAAAATTCAGTATTATAAGAAGCTTTTTTGAGTTTTTATGCCTTTAATTGTTCTAAAAGATCTTTACATGATTTTTGCTTATGTCTTCAAAATTTCCAAAGTGTAGCTGCAGCGGTGCTTAATTGTAAAAACATTTCATCTTTAACTCTGCCATCTATAAATAATATTTAATAATAATAAAGTTAATATGATATTACATAAAATAGACCTAATTTTGTAATAAAAATATTACCTTTCCATGCTGGATGTAAGAAAAATGCCAACAAATATTGCAGATCATTAAATTCTTTATATCTATAATATATAAAAAATTTAGTGTTTCAGTTGTTAAATCAACTCAACATGATTTTAATAAAAAATATCAAATACCTTTTGTTAAAGATATTAATACAAGCCTGACGAAATGCTTTATAATCTACAGTACTAGTATTTTTTACAATTGCTGCAATATGAAATAAATGTACCATACAGTTAACTAATGTTGTTTTTTTGCTTTCTAAACTTAAAATTGCGTTTTTAATAGGTAACAAAGTATTACTTAAAACTTGAAGGTCATCATAAAATCTTCATGCCATTAAAATTTGAACAACAATAAAATTATTAATTTCACTACAGTTGTTTTCAAGTATCTATATAAATGTAATAATTTAATTAATTTTTTTAATAAATAAAATTTAAGTAAATATTAAAATAAAAATAAAGGAAAAATGAAAAAACAATACTAAGGAAAACGAAAAAAAATAAGAAAAAATAAGAAAAATAAAAAATATAAGGAAAAATGAAAAAAAAATAAGGAAAAATGAAAAAAAATGAAGAACAAAAAAAAAAAACAAAAAAAAATGAAGGAACAAAAAAAAATGAAGGGAAGACGAAAAAAAACAAAGGAGAATAAAAAAAAAAGAAAAAAAATGAAGAGGTTATGAAAAAAAACAAAGGGAGGACGAAAAAAAATGAAGGAAAACAAAAAAAAAAATAAAAGAGGAACGAAAAAAATGAAGAAATGAAAAAAACGAGAGAGGACAAAAAAAAATGAAGAACAAAAAAAAACAAAAAAAATTGAAAAAATGAAAAAAACAAAGAGGCGACAAAAAAAAATTAAGGACAAAGAGATGAAAAAAAATGAGAAGGATAAAACTTACATAATTAAACACTTTTTTGCATATTAAAACTGAATTAATACAGTTATATGTGGTAGTCTACTGGGTTTTTACAAAAGTTTTAAGCGTACCACCTTCGATATTTTTTTTTATAGTATCACGTAGTAATGATGCTGCAATATGCGATGCTTTAAAAAATGTGTCAACTATATTGCAGCGATAAAGTAATTTTTCGGCAAAAGGAATTTTAATAATATCTTGAGAAATAAGATTAAAACAGTGCGCAATGCACCTTAAATTCATAATATTGGGATATTTCAAAGAAATTGCTTTTCTAGCTGCCGAAATATTGGCAGCATTATCTGAAACAATTGCTCCAATTTTTTTTGGTCCAATTTTTTGGATCATTTTATCAATCTTATTTGTTAAAAATTCAGTTGTATGATGTTCTGAACTGAAATTTTGCAAAGAATATAAATATTCTTTGTGTGATGGTGTTATTAACATAAAATCCAAATAGATTGTTGTTTAGGGTCTGTCCATCCATTGATTGCTAAAAAATAATTGTTTAAATAAATAAGATAATTATTTAATTTAATATATATATAATATTCATTATAAAATACTTACCTATAGTAAAATTTCATTTCTTTCAATAATTTGATCAACTTTAGCATTTACTTTAGCAACTTCAGTTTCCAAAAGAATTTCTGTTAAACGTATATGAGATGGTAGATTATAATTTGCATTTAAACTTTTCAATAAGTTAATTATCAAGGGATTTTCTATGATCCAAAATGAAATACCGCAGTAGATGAACGCTCATACAAGTCCACAATCAATTTCATTAATCCAATTACTATTTAATTTTTCCTTTTTCTGAAAGTGATTGTTAATTTTAGCAGGACAAGCAGAAGCTTTATTTTTTTTATTTTTCATTATTTTTTGTTTTTTAAATGCATTTTGATAACTTTTAGCTTCATTATCAGATGAATAATATTTTCTTTTGTTTTCATTTTCATTTGCTACAACTTGGATAAAATATGATCGTACATCAGCTGATATATTTGTAGCAGTACAATGATTTGCAATATGTGCTCTAAGACTAGCTGGTTTTCCTCTACTCCATTTTTTATTACAAAAACTACATGTTGCTTCATAATGATCATTACCACGGCTTTTACCTCTCTTTATATATTGCCAAATATCTGTAAAAGAATATCCAGAATTTTTTTCCTTTGGGTTATTTATTTCATTATCACTAAAAATTACTATATCACCTTGTGATTAAGAGGGTTCTTCCATTAGCTTAAACTTTAAAGTAGTGCTTAATAAATAAAACAAGTAAAGTGATGTAAAACAAGTAAAAAAAGAAACACATAATGTGTAATGGTATAGTAAATCAGTGCATACGTTTATATTTAAATATGTACAGTGTAGATCAGAAAATCAATATATTACAATAGTATTACAATATTACCTTATAGCCGTAATATTACTACCTTAATACAACACTTTTTAGACTTAAGGTAGTAATAGGTTGCAATCTTTACTACCTTAACACAAAGTAGTAATAACTAATTATATACTACATCCTTATACTGGCCTAATAATACTTCATAAGAGGTAAAAAAAAGCCTAATCATAAACTAATAGCAAAATAAAAGGATAAAACTTCTAACATTCTCTATAAGGCCATTGGCATGTATGCAGTCCTATCCTTGAGGTTACTACTATACCTTGGGGAGGACTTCCTGTCTAGGTGGTCTGAAAGTATAATGTCTTTGTAGTAGTTTAACATTCTGTTAGGTCTTAGGCCAACCAAAGTGTTTGTGCATAGAATAAGTAGCATAGTTATGAGATTCGATTTCCTACTTTTTGGATCCTAGTTGGTGATCCCTAGTAGTTGTTAAGAGGTAATTCTGGACAGACACCTGCTACTTACTGTTCAAGTAGTCACTATAAAGTATACTATTTGAGGTTCACATCTGTACTATCAGTATTGGGTAATTGCAAGCTGTAGTGATTTTTAAATGAAATTTCGTACTTAAAATAATGGTATGGAAGTAAAGATGGTCACCAGTCATAGAAGATCGCGGTCTTACTGGTCCTACACCCAAAAAGACAGACCAGTCCGTCTCGTGTAGAACAGCGGTCTTTCAGTCCTGGGCTAATTCTGATCAGATACGTAGTGTTGGCTGGAATTACCAAATATGGCAATCACGTGATCCTGGATAAATAGTTTAGCCACCAGGCAAAAAATTTTTTACTGGTTCTGTCATTGTAACACAAAATTTTTTGTGTTATACTAACTTGTAATTCTGGCTGGCACTATAAGTTCAGCCTGAATTAACAGCAAGATCGAAAAGACTAAAAGACCATGGTCCGTCTTAAGACTGGCAGTCCTAGGACTGAGTAGGACCGGTAGAACTGATAACCATCTTTATATGGAAGGGTACTAAATAGTTAATATTACCTATCAAAAATCCTTTATAAAAGTAGTGCTCAATCTTTAAGGGTTATAAAATAAATTGAGTATTATGAGTAGGTGACGTATTAGGATCCAAAGAATACATATAATACTGAGATCTAATTTTGTATAAACTTACTATGTAATTTCTTAATAAGTCATATGTTTGAAATTGTATAACCAAATAGCAGTTACGCAAAAAGTCAGATTTTTATTTGTATAACAATAATGATTTTTTACTATAAATAAGATTTCATTTTGTATAACAGATATTAAAATTTTTTTTATATACGTTTAAAATTTTTTATTTTTTTTATTTTTTGTTTTAAGAAATTTTTAAAATATTTTTTAATAAAGAGTTTTTTTATTTATTTTAAAAAACACTTGAAATATTTTTTAATAGAAATTGTTTTTTGTTTGAGAAGTTTTTAGAGGTTCGTTTAAAAACATTTTTTTAATAAAAATGATGAAATTTTTTTAAAATTCATTTATAAAATTAAAAAAAATACATTTTATTACATATCTCGGCATCCAGTGATCATAGAGAAATAAAACACAGCTTGTTAGATTTGTCTCAATATGATGAGTTGAATGGTGGTAGTTCATATTTCTAGGTACAATAAATGCCAAATTATGTGATAAAATGTAAAAATGCACAGTAGATGAAATACAAAGTGCCGATGTGTGGTATAGCTCAACACCTATCACACCTAAAAACACGAAACTACTACCATTTGATTCGTCTTGTCAAGATGAATCCAATGAGCTGTGTTTCATCTTTTTACAATCACTAAGTGGTGAAATACATAACAAAATGTATTTTCTTTTATTTTGTAGTATACGTCCAAATTTTTGCATAAAACTTATTATATTATACATATTGGGCATTAATATCTATAAGGTATTTAAAATTTTAACATGCAATTTTGTTTAAAAATTTTATTTAAGTTATTTTTTAATAATTATTTTTAAAGAAATTTTTTAAGTATTTGTTAGAACACTAGTCAAAATAATAAAATTCGACCTTAATAAAATTTGGCCTATATTCGACCAAATTCAAAAAAAATTCGACCTAAGTATATATTCGACATTGTTGAATTATGGTCGAATAGCATATTATAAAAAAATATGTAATGTGTTGATCATGTCGCGTCGCGTATCACTCGTGTACCATGTAATTAAGCACGATTAAAAGTTTAATTTAAACTTTCCTTCATGCTTTTTTCTTTGTCCTTCCCTTTTTCTTCGTCCTTCCCCTTTCCCTTGTTCCTTCTTTCACTTTTTTAAAAAACTTTTATAAAGTTTATTATATTTTATTTTTTTTTTAGGAAATTGGCTCCGAAGTTTAATATTCTAATAAACATTATTAACTTTTCTTTTTTTTTCGGAATGCATTAGGAACGGCCTCTTGGAACGATTTTGTGACTAAGAATGTGAAAAATGTGGAAGGTTAGTATATTCGGTTTTTTTTAAAAAAAATTTTATTATTGTTTTTTACTTACCTTATTCTTATTTCTTTAGGAACGGTCTCTTCTTTTGGGATGGTGATCGGGAATAGAGGTAAATGGGAAGTAGGTTAGCGGGTGTATTGGTGTGTTTATTGTAATTAAGAAACGTTCTAACGTTTCTCTTCTTTTTGTAGGATACTATTAAGCAAGCCGAAAGAACTAAGATTCGTCATAAGTATTACGAATCTTATTTTTTTTTCATTTTTTTTAATAAAGTGTAACGGTTCACTAACCGTTCTTATTTTTTTTATAGGTTTCAGTGGGCTTCTGACGAATGGAGGGACCAAGATTCGTAAGTAAGTACGAATCTTGGTTGTTTTTCTTTTTTTTTTAAGATTGTGAACGGTTACTATCTGTTCATTTTCTTTTTTTAGGTTTCGGGTGTCTCCAACGAATGGAAGAACCAAGATTCGTAAGTAAATACGAATCTTGGTTGTATTTTTGTTTTTTTTTTATAATTATAGAACGGTTTACTAACCGTTCTTTTTTTTTAGGTCTCGGGTGGGCTTCTGATGGATTTTGTGAGTATGAGTGAAGATGATGCAGATTATGTTATTATATGAAAAACCTATTCGTGTCAATAAAGTAAGCGGAAACATTTGTTGGAGAAGAAGAACCTAATTGAGAAGTTAGTTTGGTTTTATTGTTTGCTGTGTAGCATTGATGCTTCGTCATATTATTATTAGGCAAACCAGATAATCAACAGAAGTTAATTGTCAAATCTGGAAAAGTCTCGAGTTCTATTAAACACGGCCAAAAATCTGAATTATCAATTTATGATGAAGCTGCTGGCAAATCAACAAAATCACAGATTCTTAGTCACGCTTCAAAAAGAATAGAGTCTAGAGTGTGTGGGAACCCTCTTGGTGAAGGGCGTTTTGGTCGTGTTTATATTGCAAGAGAAAAAACAAGTAAATTGTTGCTATCAAGTAATATTTAAAAAGAGTTTCGAGAAAATATTATGATAGAACAACTAAAACGTGAAGTGGAGATTCAGTCGTATTTGAAATATCCTCAATACGTTCATGCGTGCGCTTTTGGTGTTATCGTACAGACTCCCAACTCCCAAGGTATTAATATAATAATCAAATATCAAATTTATTTTACATATTTAATTTTATTAAGTCAAAATATTTAATTTAGATTGCATGAGATCCCGATACCGGTAATAGTAAAGGGTATGGGTTTATTTCATATTATAATTTCGATTCTCAGATGCGGCAATTGATGCAATGAACGGGCAATTTTGAATAAACCAATTATTGTATCATACGCTTTCAAAAAGGATGATAAAGGCGAAAGAAATGAAAGTGCTGCAACTTCTGAATCGAATATATTACTTTCGATGGGTGACTATTTTTTTTTATTGGCATACCTTAGAACGGTTATTGGCAGCCCAAGTGAAGAAAATCAAAGTCTTTGATTGCAGATGTTCGTCCATCTACTGCATGCGCCAGGGACAAACACAACCATCGCTTAGACTATCTATGATAAACGGAGCGTCAGGAGTATTTTTATTTGATATGTTGTTTATCAAGAAAATGGATATGAAATCTATTATAATATAATTTATTTACATTACAATGCTATATCACTTAATCATCTCCGAAACCTTCTTTCTCTCTTCCCCTCTCACCCTTCCCTCTCCTTTTTTGTTTTTCCCTGCCATTCCTCTATCTCTTACTTTTGTAGGACGTTTCCTTGAAATTTTCTTCAGCTTCGGTAGATTTCTTTAGTAGGATGTGTAGATCAGCGTCTTGGAATTGGGAAGTTTTTTTTTTTTATTATTAATTTTGATTTTTTTTATTAATTTTTTTTATCTTATAATTTGTAGAAATCAACAGTTTCGCACTTCCCGGATCGAATTGGTAAGTTTTTCACTTAAAAACTTTTTCTAAAAAATTTTTTTTTTATTATTAATTAATTTTTTTATTGTTTTTTTTTGTAGTTTCGGCTTCCTTATCCTGGATGATAGTTTTTAAAGTTTTGTTTTTCCAAATTTTTATTTCAGATCGAACTTGGACTTTATTTTTTTTCTTTAGTTATAGTGAGATGACTTTTAACATTCGTTTTTTTCAAAGATGCGATCATGTGATTGTGAAATTGTGTATAATTATTATATATTAGATAGATGCTAATATACATGTACTGTATATTTAAGTGTTTTAATAAATTAATAAATTTGAAATTGAAACTAAATTAATAAATAAATATTGAGACTTAAAATTTTGTGTCGATAATCATCCGAACTGCGCCTCAATTTGACGCCACTATTAGACCTAAATTCAACCTAGTCAAATTTAGGTCAAATGGTAGTGTAATGATGGCCGAATTTTCTTTCCGAATTTGAGACGATTGGCACCCTAAATGCGCCCGAAAATTCGACCTCAATTTGACACAGGTTAGATCATCATTCGACCTATATTCGACCTGGTCAAATTTAGGCTGAATTGTCCTTTTTCAACTAGTGGAATTTTTCAATAAAATTTATTTGAAATTTTTCTTTAAAAATTTTTTTTTATATAAACTCAGATTTATAATTGTATAATTTATAATAAAATTTGAACTTATGTGATGATTTTGTATAAAGCTTCTAATAAAATTAGACGTATAAAGTTATATTAATATTTTGGGTCTGGATCTGAGTTGTATATGTATTCTTCAGGGTCCTGGCGTATTCCTAGCTTCAGATCAGCCTAAAATGACTTGATGGCTTATATAAAGTTCTGTTTACCTGAGAAATTAAGTACTCAGCAGTAGTATAGTTACTCCTTAGGGATGATAGGATACTGACCTAATAATGCCTCAAAAAGAGATAAAAGGTCTGGCCATAAACTACTAGCAAAGTAAAAGGATAAAATTACCACCATTCGATTTGTCTCAGTGAGACGATTCTAATAAGCTATGGTTAGTATGGTACATCTTTGTACAATTATTAGATGCTAAGTTATTTAATATATTCTTTATATAATTGTGATTATAAACAATTCTTTTTAATATAAGATTTTTGAAGATAGATGTGATAGTTAAGGTTGCTTGCCGAAACCTAGGGGTTTAGGTAAGATGGCGTTTCGCCGAAAAGCGAAATTCTGCTGAAACTATATTAAAGTTATATTAAAAAACTGGTGAAACTTTGGAGAAAGGCGAAACTGCCAAAACTTATTATAAATGCCGAAACTGCTTAAACTTTGCTTAAACTATAATAAATTTATAGTAAAATTTTGACGAAACTAATCGTAGGATTTTGAAGAGGTTTAGACAAGCAACCTTAGTGATAGTAACTATAGATAGATTGTGACTATAT